TATTTCTTTTTTTAAAAAAAGATTTTATTTATTTATTTGAGAAAGAGAGAATATGAGCAGTGAAGAGGGACAGCGGAGAGGGAGAAGCAGGCTCGACACGGGGCTGGATCCCAAGACCCTGAGATCATGACCTGAGCTGAAGGCAGACGCCTAACCCATCCAGGTGCCTCTATTTTTATTTCTTTTTTGAAAGTGTTGAAGTGGTTATATTTTTTAAAATTTACTCTAGAGGACTCTATTGGAACAATTGGAGCATTTAATATGGACTGTATTTTAGAAAATTGTATTGTATCGTGTTAAATTTCCTAAATTTGACAGCTGTTGTTGTGGTTATTTAGGAGAATGCATTAGTCTTAGGAGATACATGTAAATGTAGAGAAAAGGTCATGCTATTTGCTACTTTCAATCTATTCAGGAAAAAAGAAATATATACAGAGGTATATATGAAAATAGTGACAAGAAAAACAGGCAAAATATTGACATTGGTAATTTTAGGTTCAGTGTACATGGGAGTTCATTACATTCTTGCAAATACTGTATAAATTGGATTTTTTCAAAGTAAGTTAAAAATGAATGGGTTTCGTTTGTTTTTTAGACTTCTATTAGTCCAGTTTTTCTTTGAAAGCCTTAGGTGTGCATTTACAAAGTTAACCATGACTTTCATTATTTGTAGTCTCAGTGGTTGAATGGAGCCGATTCCCATAGCTGACTAGCCCTTTCACTCTTGTCACAAATTATCAGTGTCTTTGGTGTTGGCATAATCATCTATTGTATGTGAAACCATTTGGGTGATATGCCACTCACTCTTCATTTTGTGGCCCGGAAGGGCCTAACGATAAGTGATCATGATGAAGGAGGATAATATATACAGGAGACTTTTAGTCAATAAGAAGACACATTTTGGTCATTATTCTTATTTGGTTGAGAATTTCAGCCATGTGCGGTAACTAATCTCACAAGCCATTTTTCCACCAAAACGAAAACTTGCATTTATTCTGCTTTCAAGGATCACATGAACATTTTTTTAAACCAGAAGAGGAATAGCAGATGTCTCACTGTTCATTTCATTTGGAGGCATCTGATGTTCATAATCAACATTTTCAAATACGTTCAAAGCTGCCATCTTGTGGTAACGTGCTATTCAATTTTTAGCAGATATATTGATAAAAGTCTGACTAAATCTGAAGACTAGAAGGAAAGTGCCCTGCAGAAATACCATTTAGGACATGTCAGAAAGCTCTATTTTGAAGCTGACATACAAAGACTACAAAAATGTATTTCCATGTGTAATGTACTTAATCTAATTGATGAATAACAGTCTTACTCATTTTGCTAACCGTTTCTATTTGAGAGCTATCAGATTTTATTCATTGTCCTTTCTTTCCCTCACCCCAAAGCTAAAGGTCTAAAGTTTCTTAGTTCATAGAGGAAAAAATTAAGAATAAATTTCTGCTTAGTGATATAAATTTTGAGGTTAATCTTTCTTTACTGAGATATCTAGAAGTCTCACTCTCTTCTTTAAAATTTCCTTTTAAAAAGTCAGAATCTATTGAAGAGCCACAAAGGTCCTCTGCTGCCCCAATCCTCCCCCCACACATATCACACTTCTGGATAGAATCATTTTTTTCCTTTATGTTGCTTCTGCTTCCATATTCCTAATAGTGTATTTGAAATTCAGAATTATCAGTACAAAAAAAAAATAGAGATAGCATGTTTTAACATTCTACTGTGGATAATAAGGACTTGGCTTTTATCCTAACTCAGTTTGGTTAATCCGTCCAGCAGTGCTCTCGTTCCGTAGGTCAGTTTAACTTCACTTCTTCAGGCAATCTTTCAATCACCTGTCTAAATTAAGTAGCTTCTACTGGATTTTTTTTAAGGAAAGTACACTGTGTGCTTCTTTCATGCCACTGTAATTACTATCTTGATTTTTTTTTTGCTTGTTTATTTGTGATAGCAATACTCCAAGTTGCCACAATCCCAAATTTATTCTCTCTTATCCCTTACTAATAGGATTCTGACTTTTTGGGGGGGATTTTTGGGGGGATAGTAATCAACTAACAAATGAAGAAAAACAAGAAAAGTCCCTTGATTTTCTACATTCCCTTTCTACGTAATAAACTTTTAATGAGATATAGGCAGAATTCTTGGGTAGATATCCATTTCTGAGCAAAAAGAAAACTTCTGAGGGGGATAGATAAAAGGTCTGAGAATGGAGCAGCCATTTTGGAGCACTGACAGTATAGATAAAAGGATGGAGACAATATGCTATAGGTAGTGGAAGAAAGTTAGAAGCAGCTTCAGTCCTTGAAAGTACCATTGTACTTGGACTCTCTGCCTTTCAAACTTATTTTGTGAGGAAATAACGTATTCCTAATAAAGTACATTGTCTTTTTGTAATTCTTTCCCATTAGGTAGTAAGTTCTAGGAACCCAGGAATACTGTGAAATTTGTTTATCCTGGTAGTTCCAGATCATATTTTTTTAACCTCAGCAATATTGACATCTTGATCTGGTTAATGTTTCTACGTGGAGGCAATTTTGTGCACTGTGGTATGTTTAGCAGCACCCCTAGGTCTACCCAATAGATGCCAGTAGCAATCCCACACCCAAATGACTCTTTGGTTGTAAATTGCCCTCCAGTTGAGAACCACTAATTTAGAGGATGGGTTCAGTGCTCAGGATTTATAAAATTGTTAACTAATTAGATGTGAGGATTGAGAGAGACTGTAGAATTTAAGAGCGACTTGCAAGGTGTAGTATTGCATCGCGTGAAAGATGAGGAAGCACATTTTAGTTTGTCAGTGTTTCCCTTAAGCTGTGGCTTTAAAGTTGAATAGATACTCCAGATGTGACTCTAACACCACAGATTTCTGTTTCTGCATTAGTGAAACACAGCATCTCCTTATTTGCTCAATACTTTCCCTCCCTTTTCCGTAGCATAACATTTTCCCCCTTTGTTGTTGCATCGCACTATTGGTTTACATTGAACTTGAAATCCACTAAAATCTCCTGGTTATTTTGTGAAGAGTCCTGCTAGTTCCTGTCTTCCTTCATCCTTTAATCTTGCACTTGGGCTTTTGAAGAGTCAGATTTTGCATTTTTCCTTTTTTACATTTTATCTTTTTTATGTCAGGCTCTGTTCTTTGTTAATATATTTTACTTTTTTTGTTCTTTTTCTATTTCATATTAGCTCTCTCTGACCAACATGATGTTCTATTGGTTGGTTGGTTAATAAAAATTTTGGCTAGGAAAAGGACAAAATGTATAACATTTGTATACTCATGCACTGAGCTCGGAACAAAGGTCTTAGAACCAAATCTTGGAACAGATATTTTAATGGTCAAAATCTTTCTCCCTGCATCCAATTTAAAAGATTACATAGAGCCGTAAGTGAGCACTGTCTCTGTAATCTGCTTCTAGGAATGAAGACAGTATACAGCTTCAGAGGGGCACAAAAGTAATAGCTACTCATTTTTTATTATATACGAAGGTCCAATCAGGCATTCTTACTCACTCTGTTTAGACTATAATGCTTAGCTCAGTTGGTGGCACTGTCATATAATGGGTGCTAATGCAATAGAGCAAAATTTGTTTAAGTGGTATGGAATGTGCTTTCCAGTGACCGCATAATAACTTCATTGACTATGTTTTAAAATAAAACTGAAGGACAGAGAACAGTAGAAAATATCCAAGATTGCAAATGACTATTATTTAGGGAGAATAATGTGACATATTGCAGGAAGAGTAATGGTCACCTGATGGATGAAAACAACTCAAAAGATCATATAGTGCTATAAAATAAATAGAAGTCCTTGAATGAAAGAAAAATAAAGCAACATATTTAGGGAGAAATGATCAAAGCTACATTTACAATATAATGGGTGCAGCTCTCTCTTACAATTAGGTTTTTTATTTTTATTTTTTTTTAGAATTAATGTTTATGTTTTATGACAGGCCTTCCTCCTCTTTCCCAGGAACTATTTAATATCAACTAGTCTCTTTGCTTCTACTGTAATCTTCCCAAATTATTCTTAATAGAAATTGTTTACAAACATCACCACCATCATTATCTTTGTGAAATATACTTTATTTGTGACTCTTCCAGGCTCCCTCTTGCCTGTCTAATGAATTCCAAATTTCTTAGGATTGTGTATAGGACACTCTGATTTTATTTCTGAGTTATCTTTCTGTTCCTCTCCATGAAAACTATACTATAACCACACTGACCTACTTTATATTTTTGAATGTTCCATGCTCGTCCAAACTTCTGTCACTTTGCTTCTGCTGTCACTTCAGCATGGAGTACTGTTCTAGTCTTGTATTTGGTAAACCTATTAGCTTTCCTTGAAGCCCACATCAAACATGACCGTCTCAATTTTATATTCTTTACTTTTCTCTCCCTAAACCCATTGAAATCTGTCTGAAATCTAGGATGTGCCTAATAAATGTTTATCAAATGAGTACTTAATAAATCTCTAAAAATATGATGTGGTGAGCTTAGTTTTATTGATGTTTATATAAAAAGAAATCTTACATTATACACTAATTTATCTGAAAAGCTATGAGCATATAATATTTCAATAAATCAAAATGTATTCAAAAAATCACAGTAGCGCTATTTGAAAATTAAAAAGAGACTATTATTATATGCATTCTCTTTCACTAACACATTTTGTCTGTTTATCTTTTTTTAAGCAGCCTTAAGAATGCTTAATATAGGGAAACCCACTAACCAATTGTGTGCACATGACTTTAATCTTGGTTCTATTTTTTGAATTGGGAATATCAGACTCCCCATTTTCTATAGTGTTATAAGTACTATAGTTTTACTGAAAATGTTTGTTCACAGTGATCAGCCTTTAAACTTCTTTACTGGGAATATTGTTTCAGGTAGCCCAAGATCAAAAATAGTAAAAACAGTTTAGTTAGGAGAAAGGAAGAAAAAAAATTAATGATAGTCTTGCACAATTGCATAGAAAAAGGAGACTGACGAAATAATATTTTTAATATTTTATTTTGAAAACATACAAAAGGCTGGTAAGTGATAAGAGAACGCTATTCGGAATAAACACAATGAATTGAATGGTAATTGTAGAGCACCGTATTGTGTGTTCTCCACCATTGTGGCTTACTTGTGAACCTCTAAGATATTGGAAGAGGAACTAACTGAGAGATGAAATGTGTAAGTTAATGTGTAGTTCCTTTTTCAGTGAATTAAGAGGTAGAACGTAGTGGCTAACAGAAGCAGTATTAACTGTGTTTTAGACAAAGTGAAGTTTTCACCACTCCAAAATGTGATAAAGATCATGATTTTGTCACGACTTTGAACCTTAGACTGAAACATATGCTGATGCTCAAAGGGAAATTGTAGTTTGAAAAAGTCAATTGGGATCCCATTTATAGCTACACATCATTGATTTTAACTAATAAATGTGGCTTCCTATGTATCTGTTGTTCAGTGTCAATGAACAGAAATATATTCACATTTTAACATTGTAGAAATTCCTACTCATGTATTTCAATCAGAGATTTACTATCATGATTTTTTTATTTATACATAAACAAAGCACAACAGTTTATTTACATTGTCATATAGTTGACCTTTAAAACATGCCAAAAATCTTCACACTCTCTGCTTAAATACCATGGAGTTGGTGCAACCTACCATTTTTTTAAAAATCTCTACCTTCATGACCATTTTCAGAAAAACTGCCAATTTTTAAATATTTGGGGTCTTCTCTAAGATAACTAAGCTGCTTCTCAGCTTTTCTTACCATGTGTTCAGGAAGCTACTTTCTTAGATTCAGGGTTAGAGTTAGGGCATGTGCCCGGTATTTTGCAGTTCAGGGACCTCTCCAGAGGGTTAGGATTAGATTTAGGGTCAGAGTTATAGATCAGGGTTAGGATGTGTGCCTACAACCTACCATTTTATTTTATTTTTTAATGTTTCAAGTTTTTATTTAAATTCTAATTAATGTACAACCTACCATTTTAAATAGAGTTGAAAAATAGAACCAATTAACAATTGTGACTCTCCCTAGCTAGAAAATAATATTTAGAGTTTTAATTCTAATATGTGCATGCATCAGGAAGAAAGTAATGGAAGGAAAGAAAATACAGTAAGAAATTTAATCTATTATTTTTCAACCAGGTGGTTTTATGATACTAATACATAAGAGAATTGGTCATTTGTTATTAGACCATAGATTGATTAGGATTCTGCATTTTTTCATAGTCGTCAGCATAGTGTTGATACTGATCAGTGAGAAGAGGTTGATTCGCTTCATCCATGTTGCTTCTGGCACGAATCAGGCAAGAAGCACCCGCAAAAATTACTGCAACCAGTACTAAAGCAGCAACTACCGCTATGGTAACAATCTCAGGAATACTAAGATTCCGACCTATTGGAGAAATAAAAGGAGAACAACAACAACAACAACAACAACAACAACAAAAAAAAAAAACCAGTAAAATAGTTGCCACCCAAAATCAGGTATCTTGAATTTAGGCACCGTTGTAGGCATTTTACCAAATTCTTCATACGTAATTTTTATTGGCCAGCATTGCTGATGATAGCCTGTCATCTTAAAGGCACTTTCTAATTTCTCATTATAAGTGGACCCTATTGGGATACTTATTATTAATTCCATTTTAAAGGTTGAGAAAATGATGCTGTAGAGTGAGTCATTTGAGGTCACTTGGTTAGTAGGCACTAGAGTTGGTTTCGAAGACCAAGTCTTTCAAAACCCATGTGCTGTGCTCTTCCACTACAACTTACTGCCTTTGTTGAGAAGAGATTGGAAAAGAAGCAAGAAATTTTCAATTTCAAAATCTAAGAAAAAGTAATACAGAGTATCTCACTCCATTTTTTTTTTCAGAATAAAGATAAGGAGGCACCATTATATAGTAGAAAAATTGGGGCATATTACATGGGCATAAGCTCAAAATTCATCCTCTCTGCCTACTAGAAATGTGATCTTCGACAATTACCCTATCTAAGGTAATTATGGCTGGCCCTTCTTCCTTATTTGTAAAATGAAGATTACAATACTTACCTTACAGGGTTGTAGGGATTAAATGATAGTGCGCTATAAAATCAACTTAACTCCAGGTCAGAGTGGGCTCTCAACAAATGTTAAATTCAATCTCTTTATCCCAAAATAAAAATTCAAATAAAACCTTTTAAATATAAGTAGAAAATATAGGCTGTAGAATATTGTGATTACCTTAAAAGTCAATAAATTTGTTTTTGGAAATTTCCACAGTAAAGGTACATTTTCAATACTCACTTGGCCATTGAACTTCGTAAGTATATCCCAGATTGTCTGGAGCGGTAACAAACATTTCTACGTTGGTAACTGGAGGCCAGAATGGTACCATATTGTATTGTCTATTATGCCCAATAGGGGCATTTTCCAATGGAAATGTGGATACATCTAAAATATGGCAAAGACATCTTGTTAATAGACATGATAAAGTTAGTATTAATAGATTATTATGTTCTGAAGGTGATCCGAAATATTCTAGGATAACATAAAAATGTTCTTTTATATTTTAAACTGAATAAAGACATAAAAATAGTGTCACTACTGAAGAACAGGGAATTGCATTAAACAAAGTTCAAATGCTTTGAATACAGCACTAACATAACATCCAATAGATCAAGAAAGTTTGAAAGCAGGGAAGTTTTAGTATTTTATCATCTATGGTGATCATTAATTGTTCTATTTTTAAATTACAGAAACTTATTTGAAAAAATTAATTAAACTTATTTTTCAAAGCTAAAAAAAGATGGACCTGTAGTTTGTTGTAGCTTCATTTAAAATTTAAATATGAGAGGTCCTGGGGAAGTTTGTCCTTGAATATGTCCTGTGGAAGTTTGTCCTTGAATATGAACATATCTGTATAGTATTCTTCACTTTTCTCTTTTATCTTCAGAGATAAAAATATTAACTTATTCCCAGATTTTACTCTATTAGAAAAAAACACTTAAATTTTTAAATCAGCGTCCTGGAATATTATTTACTTCCTGCCACCTCTCCTCTTTCTACTTAAATACAAGTTACAGGCATTTATATTATTAGTGAGTTTCTGCCAGCAGGGATAAAAGGAGTGGTATGTTCCTTGTGGCAAAAGATTGTTCTTTTTTGTTGTTGTTCTAATTTACGTTGATACAACTAAACCAGATGGGATATCTCAAAACCAGAGTTGGAAGGGGACTTGGGCAGGACATGAGTGGGAATATATTTAGAAGAGTGGGATATATGAGAAATTAGATTTTCTGTTTGCAAGTAATATATTACTTGAAGAGTCACTGTGATCCTGGAAAGCACAGAAGAGTATTTTAGCACCTACCTTGAAAAATAATTAATCATAGAAATGGCATATAGCGTTTATTTTTTTGTAACTTTTAATTTACTGTGTATTAATGCTAATTAAATATTTATCTATTTAAATATGCTGAGCTCTTACCAATGCCAGACACTGGTCTAGGCACGGAGGTGATGGCACTAAACAAAATAGACAAAATGCCTGTCTTCAAGGGACTCACAATTTTGTGTTTTATTGTTAATTATTTACTAAAGTTAGATATTTAAGTTAATGATTTAGATAACTCTTTGACTTTCCATTTCACCTTTTTATGAAATCCTGACTTGATCAACCTCAACCCAATTCAGCATCAGCTGTGTGATAGTTATACCCATTAAAATGAATGGAGGAATAATCATAAAAATAACACACAATAACAGATTGTCATAAAATTTGCCTATACAAGACCCTGTAGCGACTCCCCCTCTCACAGGTTCATCCAGCATCCCTCAGGATCTCCCCTGTTGTCCCTCTGACCTTATTTTCCACCATTTTCTCTCCACTATGCACCGGTCACTGTGGGCTCCTTTGTTCATCGAGGGATGATCTTCCTCCATGTATTTACATAGTACTCCATAAAGCCTTTCCTGATTTTCTATTTCTACAGGCTTTCCCCCATCTAACATATTATATATTTATTTACATATTTTTACTGTTATTTCTACTGACAACTAGGTGAGTCCCAGGAGGGAAAATATTTTTGTGTATTTTATATGCTACTGTATTTCTGGTACCTAAAAGACTATGTAGGGAATTGTAGGTGCTCAAATACTTTTTTTTCCAGCTTTACTGACGTACAATTGACAAAAAAAAAATCGTATGTATTTAAGATGTATGACATGATTTACAAATGGTCAAGAGGTATGGGAAAACTGTTGAATATCACTAATCATTAGAAAACGCAGATTAGAAACATAATGATAGATCACACGTTTTATGATGGCAATTATCAATAAGAGAAGAGATAACAAGTGATGGCAAGAGTATGGAGAGATGGGAGCCATTGTGCACTGTTGGTGGGAATTGGCGCAGCTCCTGTGGAAACAGAATGAAGTTCCTCAAGAAATTAAAAATAGAACTACCATATGATCCAGCAATGCCACTTCTGGGTGTTTATCTAAAAGATATAAAATTAGTATCTCAAAGAGATATCTGCACCCATGTTCATTGCAGCATTATTTGCGATAGTCAGGATATGGAATCAGATAATAATTGTGAAAGGATTTGAGTGTGTGTGTAATTACTTCATTTCTCAAAGGGTATAATAGTAGTGATTGGTCTGGAAAATGTATAAGCCGCTTCTTCTGAAAAACTCACTGAACTTCTGGAGTACTATATTTAAAACTTAATTCACATGATTTTCATTAAAAAAAGAATCGAACTAAGTGTGCACATGGATACAAAATGTTAGTGAATAAAAATTAACATATTAAATAAAATTTGGATGCTCTATATTATACTACCGCATGTCTAATGAGAGGATTCTTTAACAGACATTATCCTGTGAATGACTATAATTTCTCTTCAGCTGTAAAATAGAATTCTTTTTTTTAAGTTTTTTATTTTTTTATTTATTTATGATAATCACACACACACACACACACACACACACACACAGAGAGAGAGAGAGAGAGAGACGGAGACACAGGCAGAGGGAGAAGCAGGCTCCATGCACCGGGAGCCCGACGTGGGATTCGATCCCGGGTCTCCAGGATCGCGCCCTGGGCCAAAGGCAGGCGCCAAACCGCTGCGCCACCCAGGGATCCCATAAAATATAATTCTTATTCCAATCTGACCCTAGTAATCTTATAATCTTAGGATTTTTGAAGAGTTCTCACTATTTATAAAAACCGTTTAATACATTTTGAAAAAAAAATTCCATCCTCCACTCAGACTTATTTTCAACAAAGACTTCTGCCATATGGAGAGTTTTAAAAATTTTTCCAATCTTTTTATTTTCGCTCTAACATAGTTGTTCTATCTGATTGTTTTTCAAGGGACATTTGCAGGTACATGGAATGTTTAAGCAGGAGGCTAATTGTCAGTGTTTAGTGTTCATGAAGTTTGTAGGTGTTAACATTGGCTTGTCCTATAATTTTATGGCCATATTTGTCAGAAATATGTTTCAGGTTCCGTATTTTTTGTTTATGGTAACTTCCCCTTCACTACTAGGCAAATAATTGAGAGACCATATGCTATTTATAGCACAATCAAAGGGAGCAGGAAGAAAATAAGAAGCAAAGGTGTTTATCTGGTTCATCAATGACCTTTAGCAAATTGTTATGAATGTGAAATAATGATCTTTTCAATCAAGATATATTTTCATGGTTGAAAGAAAGCTCCCCTTAAGAGGTTTGTGAGAGAAACCAAGATTCTCGACTTCCTCTTACTTCTTAAATAAGTGTTAAATAAGAAAAACTTACTAACAGCAATGGCATTGTGAATGGCTGAATAACTATGGCCTGTATATAGTCTGGTTCCCAGAAGTGTATGTCCAACGAAAGTTTTTGTTCATTCCTAAACCTATTAACTCCAGTAGGCTTGTTAGTGTCATAAAAGCAGTAGAGCTAAACATATGTAAAATAATAATTGTGATTGTGAAAAGAGAGGGATGTTGTTTTGTATTAAACATATGAATGCTTAGGAAAGATTTGTTGAAGATGAATGCCTAAGATATTGGGAAAGAATTAAGAGTGAGCAATATGGTTATAAAGATAAGGTGGGCATTATGAAAATCCAAAATAATACTGCACTCATGGCATCTCAAGGGTGGTTAATTTCTAGTTTCACTTTGAAAAAAATAGACATTGTAAGTTGTAGATAATTCATTATGGTTGTAGCTATGTATCTAAATACATATGAAAAAACGTGGCACTCCAATCAGTGAATTCATAGCAGATTGATGAGTGAATATTTATATGTAAGTTATTTGTTCCTTCATTGATTTTCTGATGGAACATATGATTTTGACCAACACATTAGTTAATAGTCCTAATCAGGTTAGAGGCTTCTACTGTACATACACATACACAAACATACACACACTTAAAGAAATAAGAGACTAAATGAATTGGATAGGCAAATCTATAGATAATTAATCCCCAACATTATATTTAGGTGTGTGATGAAGTAAAGGTGCAGAAGCCAAAATTTAGAACAGTTTTGAAACATGAAAATGCATGATGTTTAACCAATAGAAGCACTTTCATTGTTTGAAAAGTAATGTGAGCCTCTTAGCTGAGTAGAAGTGAAGAGAAAGTGGCCTTTTAAATGATATTTTAAAAATGCATTAAATGAAATTGAAAGATATTTTCTATGCTGTGATAAAAAAAAACATTAACTAATCAAATTGAACAAAATTTCCATTTGTAAGAGGCCAGAAGTAATAGAAATCAGGACTGGATTGTGAGTATAATTTTTTGTCTTTTAGGTATTGAAGAAGAGCTCAGTAAGATTTTCTTACTCACAATGAGAATGTTCCAAAAAAAAAAAGTAGTGCAGATGTTCATTAGAAGATACGGGGAAGAAAAAATTAGGAAGCATGATAATTATCTTTTCATACTAAAAATAAAAAGGGATTATGTGCCTCGTCCAGGTGAATGCTAATAAATAGCATCTGACAACCATTGTAAGAGATGTTTTGTCTGCATTTTCAAAGTAGTTTGGGATATTTGGAAACAGCTAGATATCATAGCTCTTTTATCCCAATTTTTAAAGTGTAGTGTAGATGTGTCAGGTGCTTACTCTGTAGTGATAACTATACCACCTAAACAGTCTCCTTGCTGAGCCTGCAAAAAAGAATATGAAAACGTCTCACCAGCCTTATATCTCCTCAGCCATTCATCAAAAACTGCATCAGTGAAAGTATGTAGGAGAACAAAAATAGGATCATTTGGGGATAAATGGGTTTGTCCCCCTGTTCCATTCAGAAATAGATGAGCCAAATTGTGAAGGCTTCGAATAGCAGGGTCATACTTTCCTGTGGGATCACTGTAACCTAGATATAAAAATAGGGGTGAGAATAGTAAAAATCATCACAAATATCTTGCTTCTCAAATCAGCAGCAGTGATTATACTGGGAAACAATTTTTCCTAAGCTTGTCAGGCCAATTTTTACCTTAATATAATAGCATTGCCTCTTTGTACCTATGGTTGGTGACATTTCTTGCTATAACCAGAGCTAGGTTAGCTTTAAGCTAGTGGCATGACATTCTAAATGTAGCCTCTAGGTTAAAAATAATGACCTGCAAAGGATACCAGTCAAAATACATAGAACACTCTATTTTGACAAGGCAAACATTGGTCTAGTGGAAATAAAGACAATGGAAATCTTGAGCTTCTACTATAAACTGCTGACGCAATTGGGAGAACATCTCTCTGATTGTCCTGAAATTAAATTGCCAGATACGACTTCAGTTTTCTACCTTATTCCTTTTGACTGTCAGCATGTTGACTTTTGGAAAGTTACCTTATTTTTGTGGAAACGTCACAATTTCTCAGAGCATTATTATCATCTCGGTACTAGTTTTAAATATCTGGAAAACCTTTTTGTCGAACCATTTATATAACTTTTGATAATTATCTATTTTCTCTCTATATAGAATGTATTTCCCATATTCTATATGATACATATATGATATTCCCACCCAATAGGTGAATTTCCCATATTACATGTATTATTTGCATTTCTCATGTTATGTATTCTCCATATTATATATTTTCCATACACATTTTCATAGTATATATATCATGTATATACATTGGGCAGAAGGGGAGGATAGAGCACAAAAAATAGAGGGTCTATGATGTGGGATGGAGTGATAAGTGTTCCTGTTTGGATTTAAAAATCAGAGGTGGGAGAGCAGGGAAAGCTTACATATTATAAAATAAAATTAGAATTTAAAATATATTAACCCATTTGTATAATTATGCTTACTCATTGATTTAGTCATGTTTCATACATTTATTCCATTATTATTTTTTATTTATAACCTGTTTAAAGGTTGCTTGCAATGTACATAGCGTGCTGGTAGGCACTGGTTCTTTCATACATTCTGTCAGGAAATCAGTATAACTTGTCTTTTGATTGGGTTTCAATAAGATGCAATTTGCACATTCTTTTAGAAATTAGTGCTTGTGGCCTTAGTTTATATATACCAGTTTAGTCAAAACATAGTGATTATTTATTGAATAATCTCCAAATCAGTACATTCATATTTAGTTATTAGAATTAACATAAAGATAGAAGAGAATGGTATACAGTTTTGATGACAAAAGGGGAGAGAATTGAAAATAATGATTAGATTTACATATTGAGTATCTCAGATCATGGAGACAGAGAGATCAATTCCCATTCTTTTTCTGGGGGAGGAATCTAATATGTTTAACGCTATATTTAATGTGAATTTTAACAATAAAAGGTTTATAATACATTAAATGTGATTCTGTTGTTTTAAAACCTTAAATACATATCAATAATGATTTAGAGTTATCAAAGTTTATAGTATAAAGAGACCAGACATAGAAAATTTGGATTTGTAATTGTGCTCTATTCCTGAGTATCTTGGGATCTTCATTTTAGCTCTTTGGTCTTTAGTTTACTCAGCTTTAAAATACTATGAATTAAATAAGGAAATCAAATTAAATATCATTACATGCTAATTTGAATTTTAATAGACCTTTAAAAAAAGTTACAGGACAATACAAACTTAAGTGAAATATATGCCCCAACCAGGCTTTATTGGCTGTCAACGAAATGTTTAGAATTTTTTGTTATTTTTTAAGAAAGATTTTTTATAAACTCTCAAATACTTGAATATTATTTGACTCTACTAGAATTTGCTATAGCTATATACATACTGATCAGCCACCTAACAGATTTGAGTTCAAATACTTTTTAGGTATTTAAGAGATTGAAGAATAATTTCTAAGCGCTTCTCCTCTATAATAATTAAAAAGAGTTTCATGGTCTGACACTTTTCTTTAAGAAGTTCTTTCTTGAGCAGAGAATTGTGACTACATCATAACTGGAGGCAGCATTCATGTAAATTCACAGGATCTGTATGGTTTTTCAAAGATTTTTCAAAGAGATCTGAATGTGAATAGTTCAGTTAACTGTGAATTCAAAGCACTGATTTCTTTTACTTACCTTCCACTGTGTTTCGGAAACTGTTAGTAGAATTGGAGTAAAAAGGAGGGGTGTCAAATAAACCAACTTCCAAGCACTGAGCGACATCCTGTGGTTCAGGAAGACGTTGCACCATTGGTCTAGCCACATTTCCAGCTGGATTTCTCCTAATTGGCCCACCCTCAGTACCTGGGAAAAGGATGGGGTATGTAAATATTTATAGGATACTTAGAGATCTGATCTTTGCTCTTTAATTTTTATACATAGCAAGAACATTGAAATATAGGTTTTCCTTGGTAGAAGACAAAATGTATAAAATGCATACTTAGGGGCATTACAGTGAGAAAATTTCTGCTCCCATTTCTGGGAGCAGAGTTAGATGTGTGATTTGTAAAATCATTGGAAGAAAAAAATGATCACAGTAACAGATAGAGGTCCTGGTATTTATTTAATGAATGTATATTTCTGTAATGAGACTATATTAACATCAAAATTCCTTGGAAAATTGAATTTCACCAAAATAACCTCGTAAACCTAAATTCCACACTGAAATCTATTTCACATATATATGAAATTTTGTACTCAAATGCTGTTTGTTTCAAGTCTTCAGAGAAATGCAGAAAAAAATCTAAGATCTCTTTGGTAGGTGGTCTACATTTCAATTGATCCATATTTTGCAGCAATTAATGTAAGAAATAATTAAATTTTTTGAAAGGCAGTAAGACAAGCAGGCAAACAAAGCTGTAATATTAGAAGTAATAGGATAGATATCTTAAGGAAGCCTCGGAGGGAAGAATGGAAAGAAAGAGAGGGGAAGAGACAGACAGGAAGGGAGAGAGGGAGACAGAGACAGAAAGAGAGAGACAGAGATAGATTGAGAGACATTATCAATCCCTTCCAGTTGGATGACTCCAGAAGGGTGTCATTAAGGAAAGGAGATTTGCAAAGAGCCCTGAAGGACTGAGGAGAATTTTCAGGTGAAATAGGAGAAATGTTACAAGTCAAACATTTTAGGCAGAGGTAATAATAAGAGATGATAAGCTTTCTCCTATCTATAAAATAAGCTCAATCAGAACAAGAACTCTGTTCTGGCTCGACAGTACAGCCCTTAATCTTGGCACAGTGCCTGGCATATAATAGATGCTAAATTGTAGCTTGGAGCCTGTTGATGTATGGAAAGATCACATTTGCTCTAAAGGGCCTGTTTGGGAACTAGCTTGCCTGGAGTACAGGGCAATGTAAGGTGGGAACATTGAACATTCACCATATTGTGCAGAAATAAAGAGCAGTATGAGAAAGTTATATTTGATTCAATAGTAAATGAAGAGAAGTCTAATGTAGGTGGGAGAGGAGGAGATTGGTTAGGAGCATTTTGCATTTGTCTGTTCCAGTGGTCTCCAGAGAAGTATGTGTGTGTTCTAAGAGTAACAGTAGATGCAGAATAATCCACTGGGTTGGGAGAGGTGATATTACAATCTCAACTTGCATTCATTTTACCTCACTCATAAAGCTTCCTATATTGTAATGTTTATAATGAACATAATGATTAGTACCTGATGGATTAGCATAGCAAATTTATTTACATAATATAAAAATAAAAACATGCCAATACTGAGATTGGAAAGTAGATGAACTTTTGTAGGTTATACATTATTATTAAGACTTTCAGAGACCATTGTCTAAAACTATCAATTCAAGCTTATGATTTAGAGATTATTATTTGGGAGCTGTCAATAAATTCCAATAAAAATTATAGATTGCATGAATTTTAAAAACACTACATTCTAATTTGCCCTCGTGTAGTTTCATAGTGGAGAATTCCAATAGTAAAGAAACTAGTTTAAACCAGTTTAATTTAACCCAGGGCCATTTAGATTTGTTTGCACCTGGACAACCTCTGCCAGCCAATGTACCTAAAAACATCATATGGTTTGGAGTCCTATGGAGTTTTTGTGCAGTAAGGAATGAAAAGTTCTGAGTGTCTGAAGGAGAAAATAGATGGTAATACTGTGTAGAAAGAACAATATTTTTCATGTGATGAATCAAAGATGATGTTTTACTGGCTGGAAGAGACTTAGGTGTCAATAAATCACTCTTTCGAAGTACCAGGTTTGGCGCATTAATGGAACAGTGGAGAGAAATCATGCAACAAGCACATGAAATCACAGGCATGAAAGATGCAAGGAAGATTTGCTCTAAAAATGCACATGCATAGCCGTCCCATAAAAGATGATCAACAAAACCACAGGAATGGATCATTTCATCCAAGAATAACAATACAGAAAAGAAAGAATCCCTAGGAGAATTAAATAAGATAACGTATTAAAGCATTTGGCACCATATCAGATACATAGTATGTGTTGAATAAACTATTAGTTTCCTTTTATCTTTCACAACCTAATAAATAAAATGCTTGGTATTTATATCTTGAACTAAGGTAAGGCGTAATCTTCAAATTTGTCTCACGTAAAATACATAATCTTCAATTTTTCATGAAACTACGTATCCTGGTGTGAGACATATACTAATTGACAAAAAAAACTGTGATAAAAACTTCTCTCCTAAGCTATAATTTTGTTTACTCATTTTAAATGTGCTATAGTTTGGTATCCAATCATCTGTATGATACAAAAATGTCTGGAAAAAATTCCCAGGCCAAAATACAATAGCCTCCTCAGAAAGAGGTTAATGTTTTGGTATCTAAAGATATATTGATTCTCAATTTCATTTCAAGGTGGGATCACTCATTCATCATGCCAGACAAATTTTTAAAAAATGTATTCTAAGTTTTAAACTTCTACAGAAAAAAATTCATATACTGTCACTTCCCTTATTTCTCTACACAGCTAAATCATCTAATGGTGAAAAAAATCTACTGATTTTTTTCTATTTAGAATATTCTCTTTTTAAGAATATCCCTTTTTTAAAAAGATTTTAGTTATTTATGAGAGAGAGAGAGAGAGAGAGAGAGAGAGAGGCAGAGACAAGCAGAGGGAGAAGCAGGCTCCATGCAGGGAGCCTGATGCGGGACTTGATCCTGGGTCTCCAGGATCACGCCCTGGGTTGAAGTCATCACTAAACTTCTGAGCCACCCGGGCTGCCCAAGAATATCCTTTTTTAAGTTTATAAAGGAATTTAATATTTTAAGCTTAAAAATATGTAAAAGGTACTATGAAGATAAATAAAATGAATTTCCATAAATCTAGTTTTTGCATGGAAGGACAAGTTTAAAATAACCAAGCATGCCTGAAGAAAAATAAGATGGGATAGGGAGACTCTAATAATTAAGACTTTGTGTTAGTACCACAGAGACTAGTAATGTGATCCAAAGAAGAGAATGGCACGCTCAGGAACAGATCTGCATGCAGCAGAAACTTGACCTGAGGCAGAAGTGGCATTTAAATCACTGGAGAAAGGATGCTAGCGAGGACAGCTGGTTAAGCATTCTCTTTATGTGCTCGCTTTGAGAGAAGTGGAAGTAGCTGGCAGACCTTTTATGTGCAGTATCTTTTCTCTTTTCTTTTCTTTTTCTTTTCTTTCCTCTTTCTTTCTTTCTTTTTCTTTCTTTCTTTCTTTCTTTCTTTCTTTCTTTCTTTCTTTCTCTTTCTTTTTCTTTTTTAAAAAATATTTTATTTATCCATGAGAGGCACAGAGAGAGAGAGAGAGAGGCAGAGACACAGGCAGAGGGAGAAGCAGGCTCCATGCAGGGAGCCCGACGTGGGACTCAATCCCGGGTCTCCAGGATCATGCCCTGGGCTGAAGGCGGTGCTAAACCGTTGAGCCACTGGCGCTGCCCTATTTCTTTCTTTTTTAAAGATTTGTGTGAGAGAGAAAGATAGAATGTGTGAGCAGAGGGAGGAGCAGAGAGAGAGAGAGAATCTCAAGCTGACTCCCCGCTGAGCAAGGAGCCCTATATGGAGCTCCATCCCATGGCCCTGAGATCATGACCTGAGCTGAAATCAAGAGTCAGGCACTTAACCTACTGAACCACCCAGGCGCCCCAGTATCTTCCTTTTCTTAAAGATGTCCCTCATTATCACCTTCTGGTTTTGACCCTCTGGACCAGAATTTTACTCTTTGGGCACTTTCAATCTTTCTGTGTATTTCAGATTTCCCAGGGAAACAATTTTCTATGAAATTCCAACACAAGACACATGACTACTAAGTAGTTCTGAGTGTGCTAAGAGGATAAATTTTATATAATCATACATTTCCAAAATAAAAGAGTGTGCAGCGCACTGACCAAATTGCTCAAGAAAATCAGTGTAAAAATGTATAGAGACTTTCTGTTCTCCCTGGAACCTTAGAGAATGCCTTGAATAGCTCCTGTGTTCAATGAATATACCTGTACATTGATTCTCTATAGCAAAAGTAGATTTTATTCTGCAGTCCTTAGTAGAATGAAGGGCCTTCAGACAGCACATTTAATCCTTTATTTAATAGGGAATTCTGAATCCTGGATGTCATTTGGAACTTACTATTGCAAAGGGTTCCCAGGGTATCATAATCCTCCAAGGATTCGCAGACCACTCGCCATTGAGAAAAGACAGAGTTCAGGCTTATAAGAGTGGAATCAAAGTTGCTTCTTGATCCCATCAGGTCATCAGTGCAAATGTCACAGACATTCTTCCCAGTTGCAAAATTCCAGTAGGGGAGGGAGAATGAAGGATCCTGCAACATTTCCTAGATCACAGAAATTCTTGTTAGCATTCTCGGCTTTTGTTTAAAATTCTCCCTCTTTGGTGTCTGAGGAGCCAGAGGAATTAAATGCCTTATTTAACAAAGCTTCTAATATACTACAAGGAGTCATTGAGGCACTAGAGAGACTGGAATTCAACTCATTATAGAGAAGTTTCTGCAAATGGTTTTTTTTGGAGGGAAAAAAGTCTTCCTTTCTTCTTTAAGCAGGTAATTACATCTCTCTTGGTTATGCCAAAAAATATTAATAATAACTTCCACTCCTTGACATTTTACCTCCTTTTGTTTTCACATCTTTAATTCAAGCATCACTACATCTGGGTCTGGAGCCACATCTAGCCTTTAAATATGTTCTGTAGAGCAACACTTTTTGCTTGGTTTCTGGCTTTCAAAATTTAATTTAAATGACCTTAGGCCTTTAGATTATGGTTTTTAAAGGGTTTTTTGTTTGTTTTTATGTGGGTTAGCAAGGATAGAGGAAGAAGCCTGTGGATTAGAGTGAGGCAAACCTCAGTGGTACATTCCAGTTTTTCCAAGCACCAGTTATACAGATTTGACTTTTCATAGGTTACACAGGCTCTCTCACACTTACCTTATCTGCCTGGGCACTGAAGGTGTTTTACTTAAAGACCCCTGCCTCAGAATCTAAACTGTTAAGACTTGGATTTCTGCTTGAACCTAATACTGTCAGGAAATATTAAGTGGAAGCAAAATATTTTCTTTGTGCATACAGTTCTTTAGACCAGGGACCAATTTTCCCTTCAGAGCTGACCTCAACAATTTTAAAAGTACTGGACTCAAGATCACATGCTCATTTTATTGAGTTCCCTAAAACACACATTTATTGTATTTGTTCTCATTCCTTTAGGTCTTTGGAGAGTTACGTTTAGAGTGTGGGATTTAAATGTAGAGAGTGCCATTGTTTTATCTCACCTCCAAAGCATTTAGTACATTTCTGCTTTTTTTACTTTCAACCCTTTCTAGGAAGCATTTCCTTGTCCTCAGGGTATTTTAGAGGACCAAAAGCTTTCCAAGGCATCCTTGGTTATTGATCTCCGGGGGTTTAGAGTCTTTGTTAGAAGCCATTGTTCTGGTTCACAAAAATTAGTGACAGCTTCCAAGGGATCATTAAGAGTCAGTTTGTGGTTCAGAACTGACATTTGGGAGCTGGAACATATTCATGTGGCATTTCAACTGTGCATTACATTTAGACTGTAATTTGTTGGATCCCTTGTGCTGTTGGGTTTTAAAAATGTAAGTCATAGAGGTTGAAGTTTACACAGGCAAAATCGAAGCTTTTAGATACTTTCCACCTGCCCTTTCATTTTGGCGTGCCCATGGGAAAATGACTTGAAGGCATGGAGATCTGGAGTTGATTACAAATGACCGATTTATCTACTTATAATCTACTAAATGTCTTACTTGTAATCAGAACTATAAAATATGCAGTTCAGAGTATCAGATGAATTAATTTAATCACTCTCAGCTTGCATATATTTGGACTACTTTCATACCAATATTTTATTCTGTATTTTAGTGTATTAATTCTCTCTCTTCTAACCATTTATTTTCTTGTGATAATGCTGAACACAAGCATACTGTGAGTCAATAGATGAATCTAAGCACCTTTTATGCCCTCAGATGTTTTTGGATTAATTTTTAGATTTTAATTTGAGGAAAGGAATACATTTCATCTAGAAAATGAAATCTATTTGTGGATTTCCTAGTTGAGATCTAATAATTTAAAATTTCATTTGGAAATACCAGTAGTTTTCTCAAGAAAAAGCAGTTGGTAAAAGAAACAAGAAAGCATCAGTATTAACATGAGGTTACAATGTGGTTTGAGCTTCTCTGCTTACAAATAAGCAGGAAATTCTTATGTTTGGGGTGAGGTTCACTTTATGCCAAAAAAATTGATGCTATTTAAGTAAAAAATGCTGTCTGATTGATGTGATGTTTTTAGTTGGTTTCTTCTACAGGCTTTGCGGTGGAGTTCAAGGAAAATATGACAATATAAATGGAAAAGATTTTTTTTTATAATTTTAACCTTGTAATATTAGAATCGTCAGCCGTCATGCTGGGGTATATATATGGGAGTTGGTAGACTGAGAAGTGTATGCACACTTGTTTCATCCAAACCAGGAGGAGGGGGTATTAGTTTACTGTTGAGAAGGAAGACATAGCAAATGAGACTCTTTATTTGCAAGCTATACGAAGATCATTTTTTCAATCACAGAACTGTAGACTATGTCCGACACTTTAAATCACACCTCCAAATGTCTCAGCTGGCTCCCTCATCATCAATACTACTTTCTTTTCCCTTCACAAAGATAACGATTAATTAATGAGTAAGTAAATCAGTACAGGGAAAAACCTCACAGAATGTCAAAGGCAGATTAATAACATGAAATTGCTTTGCCATTACATGTTCATTCAGGTTGTTCTGAACACAATGAATTAAGATGACTTACAAACAAGCCACATGTCTGAAAAGGACCTGCAAATTGAAATGTTTCACACATACCTGCATGTCTCTCTCCAACTGCAGTAGGTGGTATCTGTGCCATGTGAGAAAAGCTGGTCCTTCATGAGAGAAATCCACCTCACCAAAGCTTTCCTGTCCTGGCCCAAGGAAAGTCTTTTTGACTGAGTAATAGTGTGTCCAAACAAAGTAGTTATAAATGGAAATGTTCTCAAACTGTGGTGTGTTGCCATCTGGCCCAAATATTTCTTCTGATCTCCTGGTTGCAATGACAAACTGAGGATGAATTGTGCGCTTTGCCATATCCAAGGCCTGGACAAAGTGGTTCTTCTCTTCTGTATTCAAGGCCAGGAGGTTTCTCCTGACTTCAAGGGTACAAAATTCAAACATGAAAACATCTGTCTTGTGAGCATAATCCTAATACCTTGTCCCATTTACCCACTAATGATAATTCACATGTATGCATTAATCATTTTATACTTTTTAAAATACCCCTTACTAAAATGCCATCTTTAAGCCTGCTTTCTTCCCATTCACTCCCATGCCCCCGTACTCTAGGATTTCTGTTAGCTTTCTTTAATCTGTGGACTTTCTGATTCTGTGTTCTAGTGTTTATTTCTGCTCACCATTGGTATATTTGGGAAACTGTCTACCTTTTTAAAATCATAAGCTTTGCAAAAACATAGCGTAGTGGTTAAGAGCAGAGACTTATTTTATGACTCTGAACACATTTTTCTAAGTCTCAGTTTTTTATCTGTAAGGCATATATAAAAACAGTATCTGCTTTATGGAGCTATAAAGATTAAAGAGTACATGCATAAAAAGCAATTATATCAGAGCTAGCCTCCTAACAAAGACTCAATAAAAGTTCTGCTACACCCTTGGTCCAGTGTTTGGCACATAGAAAAAAAAATATTGCTAGATTTACTACTTAGAGCTTTGTTGTTCACTATTTCGTAGGACACAGGTGGGGCTCATCATGTAAAATGGCTGACCTTGGGTCATCCCAGCGGGCAGTTTCCTTTTGGGTTAGCAAGGGTAGTGGAAGAAGTCATGTGTTAGAGCTAGACTGACCTCAGTGGTGAATTCCAGGTTTTCCAGGTCCCTGCTATAGGGACTAGACCTTTTTGAACCTCACTTAGGACAATGAACGTAACTACCTTGAGAAGTTACTGAAAGGTCTAGTCATAAATACCTAGCACCATTCCTTGAATTGGATGGTTGCTCAGTAAGTGTTTTAGAAGAAAATCACATCACTCAGAAGATCTGAACTTTAACCTTGACTCTTTATTTATTTATTTATTTATTTATTTTTTTATTTATTTATTTTTTTTTTAACCTTGACTCTTTAAACTGTATAAACTTATTAGCCTCTCCAAGTCTCAGGTTCCTTAACTGAGTTATGGGATTTCCAGGTGTTCTTTCAGCTCCACTGATTTAGGCTTCTATTAAGAGCATTGAGTCTCAGGAAGAACTGTGTATACATTCATATCCTACTTACCTGTGAGGACCTTCTGATCACAGGCAGCTCCTCTCCATCCTGGACGGCAAGTCCCACAGTTGTGTCCTGAGAAATTGCCATTGCAGTGGCAGGTCCTGTTGAAGAACCGTGTGGGCCAAACCTCCCGATCATCTCTGCCATCATGGGGGTAATGGTGGCTGTGGGGTCTGGAGTCTGCTATCACTGCCTCACACCTCCCCCGCCCTGATGAGGAGCCACAGGGGTCAGTCCCAGGCCCAGACACTGGGGACAGGTCTGGGCAACACACACCATTTCTCAAGGCCTCAACAGTGGCACACTCTCTTGGGAATTGAGCCCAGGTCTGATGGAAAAAAAGCAGGAACAAGAAGATGCTTCCCAGAGAGAGGAGTTTATCAGCTTTCATTCTGCTTTAAGCAAGAGTGAAGAACAAATCTCTGCTCTGCAGCCCTTTGTGTAGGGACTGAAGCACATAAATAAAAATCAGGCTGAAAAGGAGAAAACAAAATGAAATTATGCAAGTTTTCTTTCTTTCTGTACTGTTATAAACAGGCATGAGCCCTTCCCAACCCCCTTCAAAATGCTTTTCGTATCAGTAAAATGACATTTCCAGCAAATCATAAAAATAATAATTTACCTTTAAAAAGTTGACATGTATAATACCTACATAATTAAATCTGTCCTAGCATTTATTTTTCATTTTAAATTTCTATTTATTAAAAAAAACTCATCATAGATGTTTTTTATCAAAAGCATTCATTAGCAGGTCACAGCCATTAATTACATTTAACTATGAAGCTGGAAGAAGAATTGGAAGCAGACTTTCAGCAAGTTAATTTCCGTGACTTAAAGTCTCCCATCCTAATGGAGTTTTGGCGGGAGTCCACCCATTCCCCATAGAGCTTCTCTCCAGTACCTTACACTCCGGAGGGGATTCTCTGATGAGCCCCTCTTAGAGCTGGGTGTTTTATATTTGCTTCTCCCCTGATGTCAGAGCTGTTAATTGCATGTGGGTTTCTGCTTGATAACTAATCCCAAATCTGCCCACCCCAACTGGGAGGGGCTGGTCCTCTTCCCCCCACCCTTTACTAATCCCCTTTCACTCCAGTGAGTTTTTTCTGCCCTTTAAGTACTTGGTTAGCACATGATTCCCTTTCCCACTGATTTTCTTGTGATGCTTAAAGTTTTAAGAAAAGGTCAGAGGCACTAATTTGGAATACCAGTCAGGGAAACTAGAGAGCTTTTGTTTTCATTGTAGAGATTTAGGCTTTTTCCCCTTTGATTTTGTATTTTTCGAGGATGAAATGATATTACTTACCTTTTCTTAGTGACACAAGAGCTAAACTACTACTTGTATCTGATGGTAGCTTTTGATTGTGTTTGGTCTTGAAAATAGATGCTGCCATTTTTATTGTAGTTGTAGTAGAAATAGAGATTAATTGTAGTAGAAAATATAGAGAATAACTATAATAGAAAAGTCAGCAGATACAATTATACCAAATCACATGGCATTGCCTTTCATGATGCCTATTGGTATTGACAGTTGGATACTCCAGCTCCTTTCCCTCCATTCCGGTAGTGTCTATCTTTGTTGCAGAGCATCACAGGATCACTGCTACTTCTGTTATTTAGGAGATGACCACTGAACAGCTCCTTTCCTGCTTTCCTGGCAAGCAGCCTCAAGCCAATGGCACTAATTTTAAATTTAAAAAACGTTGTGGTAATTTTAAAGTCTTCATTTAAGCGTTAGACAATGTCTCAAGGTTTCATATGCACTCAGGGCAAACTTAATTGTGAAAAATAATGTATTTTTTTCACTTCTTTTTTTTATTTATTTTTTATTTATTTATGATAGGCACACAGTGAGAGAGAGAGAGGCAGAGACACAGGCAGAGGGAGAAGCAGGCTCCATGCACCGGGAGCCCGACGTGGGATTCGATCCCGGGTCTCCAGGATCGCGCCCTGGACCAAAGGCAGGCGCCAAACCACTGCGCCACCCAGGGATCCCAAAATAATGTATTTTTAGGTAGCCTTTTGGTTATTTTGATTTTTCAATCTGACTTCTTACTGGATCAATGTAGATTATCATTTTTCTCTCCTGAATAAAGGTGATAGTAATGTACCATTGGAGATTTCACAGTTTTGACAAAGGAACTGAAGTCACGTATGGTAACATTAGGAGAACTGAGTGATGGATATATGGAAACTCTGTATTATCTGTGTAATTTTTCTGTATATCTAAAATTATTACAAAAACACCGTGTTTATTTTAAAAACTAGGTAATCTATTCATATGTATTCACATATATATTCATGTGTGCAAATATAAGTATACCACAGTGTGTCACATTATGTTGAAAGAAAGAAAAAAATAGTAAGGCTTTGCCCATTACACCTCCTTGTTATATAATTCCTACAGTTACCTCAGAATACCCTGAATGCAGTGTGATACACAATAGGCATAATGTGAGGGCATCAGTATCAAATCACATACCATTAATTAAATATAAGAATAAATATAAAATGATGTTCTGATCTTTTCTTTCTGGACCCCTCTAGGAAATTGTGAGAATCCCACCCTGGAGATTACTACTAAGGATGATCTCATCCTGTCATGTGGAATTCTCTTATTAGCTGGTGAATCCCAAGTTAAAAGCTCTAATAGCACTCCCTCCCCAGAGGTCCTGACTTATATATCCAACTGCCTGCTTGCTATATCCACGTAGATGCCTAAGAGATTCATTGATATTTATAAAATGTGTTCCTCTATCTTTTGCATCTCAGTAAATGGAATCACTGTTCATCCTGTTGCTTTGGGAAAAAAACAACACACAGAAGTCATTGTTTTTCTCTTCTTTGTTTCATGCAACCTACATTTATTAATGGGACTAATGGAGTCTAACTTGAAGCCATTGTTAGCTCCTACTTGCCCTGTGGCAACTAATTTATCTCTTCACCTTCCATGCTTAACCACACAGGAGTCTAATCTCAACACAGTATTTTATTCTCCATTTAGTAGCCTGAGAGGACTTTAAATGTTGATCCCTGGTTACCACTGCTCTCGATAAAAAACCCGTCAATGGCTTCCAAACGCATGTAGAATAAAATCCAAATGCTTACAGGAGCCTACATGATCTGGCCCCTCCTATCTCTGGCAACCTCCTGCCATCCTCACTGTTACGTCTTTGTTCAACAACAAGCTTATTACCCCTCTGCCATGTCCCCAGGTCTTTGTATGACCTGCCATTTCACTTCATTCAATGCTCTGTCCCAATGTTAACCTCTTCAGAGAGGCCTTGTCTGACAACCCCACCTGCCAATTCCTAACCCCATCATTCATACTTCCTTTTGAAGACTTACTTTTCATAGTACCAAACACTGCCTATAATTTTTATTTTGTATTAAATTTTTCACTGTCTCTCTCACTCATCAGGAGGCAAGTTTTTGTCTTTATTTTTTTATTTTTATTATTATTATTTTTTTATTTATGATAGTCACAGAGAGAGAGAGAGAGGCAGAGACACAGGCAGAGGGAGAAGCAGGCTCATGCACCGGGAGCCCGACGTGGGATTCGATCCCGAGTCTCCAGGATCGCGCCCTGGGCCAAAGGCAGGCGCCAAACCGCTGCGCCAACCAGGGATCCCCTTGTCTTTATTTTTTAATATTGACCTGAGAGATCTTTAGAGAGTCATATAGTCACTTTTGTTTTTAAACAAAGTAGGACTAGATATCTGATTTATTTACTCCCAGCCTAGTGATTCATTTTCATTCCCACTAAAAGGGATAGACACAATCTACCTCCAGTATTTTTATTACTTACTATTAATGCACATCTATTATTTCCTAAATATTATACATACACCATTTTATGTAACATCATATACATTTTATGTTATACATTACATGTTATACATTAATATATTATTCTTTAAAAAATATTATTAAAATATTACTTTTATTCCTCTTTTGCCGATGAAGATACAGAACCTTATGGAGATTAAAAATTCTTTAAAAAGCATGTAGTTTGTAAGTGGCAGTTTCAGGTTTGGAAGTGAACTTCATTTGGTTCCAAATCTAAATGTTTGTGCTTTCTAAGTACTAAAAAAGAAGGCTAGAGAATGGAAAAAGTGCTGTACTTTGAGTCAGAAGATATACCAGATGTACCTCAGTAAACAAGTGAATTCATTTCCTTGAGTCTCAGTCCCTCATTTGTAAGTTATATGTAATAAAGAGATATTGTTGGGGCAAAAAAGCTGCAATCAATACTACTTTAAGTACAAGAATCAAAGGAAGACATCTTAAAGTAAATGAAAAATGAAATACTGAAATTAATATCTTATAACTTAGTAGACTGGAATACATTTCACAGTGTCTTCGTTATTACTAAATATCCAGTCAATGTTATGAATAGTCCTGTGGAGCAAGAATCTCAGCCACTGAAGAAAGGAAAAGCTGAAATGGCAGTATCTATTAATTGCGAAAACCTGGAAGTAGGTGACAAGAACTACATTTTACAACATGTGGTGCCATCATTTCTTAGCTTACTGGTGTTTTCTAAAGCTAGTGCAAAGTGTGAAAAGAAAAAAATGTACTTACATCTTTCTTCTTTGAACACTGTAGAGTGGTTAAAATCCAGCAAAGTTATTCATAACATAGGTCAGAAATGAATGTTAAAATATATGTTCAATACTCCTTGGCCTACTACAGAAATTATTGCTAAGATTTCTTTAGTAGAAATTAAGTTTTACATGGTAATTTTTTAAATAACGGGGCTGTTCAGAAATACACATATTAGCAGTATAAGAAGACTTGTCAGGAATCACCTTTGGTGTGTGTTATATATGCTCATAGCTGATGTGAAAATCGCATCTCAGGAAGAAGGACTGATCCTTACTTCCTGTTTTTTCCTTTCAAGTCTTACGAATGTCATTTACAAAAGAAGTTATCAGAAATATAAATGATAAGGACCAGGAATTGAGCTTAAATTGAGGAGAAAAAAGTTTTAGGAGCATCTTAATTTTCTCATAAAAATTGCTAATGAATATTAATATCTTTCATGATCATTTGTGGCAAATGATACTGAATATATTCATTGTCCAATTGGATTATATATTATTAAAGTATGTGCTTACTTATACTAAGCTTCGATTAATGGCTGGAATTCCAAAGGCATTAAGGCAACTCAAAGTCGTCTGTTAGGTCGGTCATGTGCTTTTACCTCATGGAGAAGCTTAAATTCAGTGAAAGCAAAGGGGAAGAATGTTAGACCTGTGTTTTTGTGTCATTAAGCAGAGTTTCAGTCAAACACATTATTTCTATTTTAGGGCAGAATATTTGAAGTTGAGGTCTCAGAGAATGGTCTTTGACAAAACCTGCTATTAATTTCTTATTTGAATTTTCAAACCTTTACACAATATTGCAAATACTGTTATAGGACAGTTAATAATAATTTGACTTCTGCCTAGTGAAATTCTTTCTTGCTAAGGAAATTTTTAAAATTTAAAGTATTTATTTTGCTGATGGTTTATATTTGTCTTGTTTCAGCCAATGATACTGTAAGATTTCCCTACAGAAAAATATTTCTACATACATGTGTGTTAGGCATCAAAGACAATAATCAGAGATACTTATGTTGGACTCCCATTGCTTTTGTAGTTAAAATTATTGTGCTGGGTTGACTGGGTGGCTCAGCAGTTGAGCACCTGCCTTCGGCCCAGGACATGATCCTGGAGTCCCGTGATCGAGTCCGGCCTGGGGCTTCCTGCATGGAGCCTGCTTCTCCCTCTGCCTATGTCTCTGCCTCTCTCTCTGTGTCTCTCATGAATAAATAAATACAAATCTTTTAAAAGAATTATTGTGCTTATTTCTGAACATTATGTCTGCGCTATAATATTGGTAAAATATAAAGTCTCTGTTATCTTGACATTTCTAAACCTATCTCTGTGGTCACCATTATAGTCGTTTTCATCTTATTTAACACTTACTGTGTGCAAGAGACTGAACCAGGGC